AGAGTTTAAAATCATTAAAAAGAAAATAAGTCATCAGGCCTGCTAGTAATTATTATTTACATTGCCAATTATGTGGATGGGAATAAACCCACAATTGCAAGGCAAAGTGAAAGTCGCAACAGTCATTTAACACTGAATTGCTGCCTTGCATAGGCTTAGCTAGCAAAAATAAATTCCAGAGAAACCCTAGTGCCACATAGCACTGACCCTTGTAAAAAAGGAGAGCGAACACCATAACCTGAAGATATGGCAGATGGTGTGCTACCTGTGGAGAACGTTTTTACTTTGATTTAGTAACCTGGGGAACTGCAATGTGTAACATAAGTACACAAAGTGGATCAGTGTTGGTCTTTTTACCTTTTAATCCACCTTAAGACTAGAGTAGCCCGGTTTGACATAGCTGCTGTTTAGACGCCAATATTTATTCTTTATCATTTCATTACAACAGCAATTTTTTATTATAAAATGTTTCAAACTAAAAGAAGAGGTTAAGAGGTCAATCTGTACATGATGTTCTACCCATTCAGAATACCCATCTTTAATATTCAAGCAAAAAACAAAACCTACAAAGGTATACTAACTGATCATCATCAACTGCTTATGAAAATGTTGCACTGATTTCAAAAGGCAGAATGTCCCCAGTGTTTAAGTTCTTTTGTCGTCAACAAAATAACAAATCCTGAAAATAACAGGGTGTGCCTCTGGGTTACAACCCTAAATAGCTTGATGTTAAATTATTTTGAGTTGAAATATGATGAATGTTTAAAAAAAACAATAAAATACCCTACGATCTTTTCTCAAACATAATTCATGAACTGATCCTTAGATAGTACAGTGACATAGTAAAGGTATAGTGAACTGCCCACAGCTCCTCCTACTGAGCAGTCCACATCAGCACTGTCAGACCCCGGCAGCCTATCAGTGTCCACCAACTCCCACTATGACGACTGCTATTTGGTACATGAATGGATGAAGTGGGAGCCAATCCGAGGTCGCTGCAACAGCCTAGAAATAGACCATTTTGTAAAGTAACGTGTAAGAAACATGTTAGCTTGGGTCAAAATGGGCTTGCAGAGTTTGTTGCAAAAAAGTGCAGGTTCCCTTTTTCTGAATGTTTTACAATACACACTCCTGATAAGAGTGTATAACTGAATCAGTTGTGATTAGATTAGGGAAGAGCTGCAGTGTGTGGCATATCGATTGAGTTCAGTCAACACAGCTGCCATAACAGACACAAAACGTACTCTAGTACTTGATGATTAAAATGACAGTACTACTAAAATGAGATTTAAAAAAAGGTGGCTTATCCAGCAACAAAACAAGGACATAAATCCAACACTGCTGCACACAACTCTTTTCAGCCAGACTGCAGTAACTTTTAAAAGGACAGAAGGTACAGGAAACAAAATCAGTGCTCTGGGACTTTTTCCAAATTCTTCACAGGACCATGAGTGATACAGGCAAACCTGACATCTGATATTGATAACTCAGCTCAACTCTAATAGATCAGAGCATTGCCTGAAGTCATATCAGTACAACAAAAACAGACAGACACAACAAGGCAGCTGTTGCATTTAAAAAAAAAGTGAAGGTAATGTTTATATTCAGTTATTTGGCGAGTTGTGTGGAGTTAAGGCCACATGCTGAAGCTAAGTTTAGGAAAACCAAATGCTTCTGAGATATGTTGCAACTCTAAGCCACCAGCAATGTCAAAAACTAAGGGGGTTAAAACCAAATGATGTCTAATAAGTATTAGCCAATAACTTTGAGGCTAAACTGAGTAATTTCACAACTGCTGTCTGGCACTGTCTGGCAAATAAACCAGAAGGAGACGACAAGATAACTATCTGGCACATATATGTAGCAAATTCCTCATTGATATTGATTAAACTAGGTTGTTCGCTCCCAAACATATGTCAGTTTCATTCTGTCTGTGTGAAATAATAATGCTAGCTAATCCATCTGGAGACACATGACAACACCTCAACCAGTTGTCATGCAAAAACATTAGCGTAAATAAGCATGCTAACGGTAAAAACACTTATTGAAAAGGCTTCACAGCGTTCCAGGAAACAGTTAGGAAGAGCTGACGCTACTTCATGCAGAGAGAAACTAGTTAGCCGCTACATGCTAACAGCGGCTAACTGTCGTGCTAAAACTGAAGTTACCTGGTCTGCCACGTCTTCGGCTGTGTTCATGAGTTCTTCCTGCCCCATGTTTCGTTAATATAACGATTATTTTAATAAGTAAAGATCAGCGCAACACAATTTTGATGTGATCGGTATTTTTTGCAGGCAGCGTTTGAACTGCTCCTCCCACCGGTTAACGTTATTTACTTGAAGATTTCCCGATTGCCTGAACGCAGAGAAAGGCCGCCTCCGCCCCACAATGCCCCGCGATTTGACGAGTGAGAGCCCCCATAGATGGTACTGCAACCGCTGTATGCCACGTATACTGATCCGTACAGGGGCTTGAACCAGCTTCAGTGTTGTTTACAGGTTTTTACTGATGAAATGAGCACAGGATTATTATCTACACCTCACCTCAATTCATTTTTACCATAATCTGTATAATGTGTCTTTGTTCAGCCTTGCAAACGCTGCACACTCTCATATAAAGTAGTTCATATGGATGGTTTCACTTTTTGGACGGATGTTCATTCCTCTTGGCTAAAAATGTTTATTATGGTCTAGTAATCCTTTTATAAAAGTAAAGCTGGCACATTTAGTAAGTGATGAAATGTAATTGAGTAGGCCTACCAGTTTTCAGGAGCAGTGAACAATTTAATTTAACTGAGAGTTACATAATAGTATTTTTCAAAAATGCTTTTTAAAAAAAACTTTATTTATCATTTTTTCAAAATGTACATCTCTTCAGTTCAAACCCTGAACGCATACTGTCCACCTGAGTGGACATATAAAAATCTCTTTGAAAAAACTAGATAAAAAAAAAACTAAAGTTCAGATCTTGTTTTTCATGCCCCAAGAGCAATAATAACACTTGGTAAAAAAATCCTGACTGAGGCTTTCATAATTCATGCATGACTTTACTCTTTTATTGGAAATGTCTATTTATAGATAGAATTATTTGACTTAATGCTTTTATGATTCTTCATTTGTTGTTATGCTCTAACATTTCTATTGGTATCTTAGACTTAGACTCTAAGTCTACAAATGAAGAATCATAAAAGCATTAAGTCAAATAATTCTATCTATAAATNAAACTGGCTTGGGGCATAACGGGTTAAATGGTATCAAAAGAATCTGGAGAAAAAACGGTTGATTATAAGTGTATGTGTACAAATCATAGACGGTCTATGGCAGGGATCACCAACTACATTTGTCAAGGGCCAAAATGTATCCAATAGACCAGGGCTATTCAACTACACATTCAGTTGGGCCAGATTTTATAACTACAAAATTCAGCTGGGCCAGACATTCAGCGGCCTGTAAAAAGCGGGTCGTGACACATTTTAAACCAACACATATTACTGCGATGAAAAACATGCAATCTTTATTCATTGTTCATCTAACAAAGGTACGTCAAAAAGTGCATAAAAACACAACAAATTAGCATTAATTTAACAGAATCAGAAAAAAATTTGCACAGTTGTAGCATTACATTTGTTTGCTTTAGAAGTCAAATAGTGAGGTTATGTTTTTTGAACCAGGCACATCACAAAGTGCATTTACTGAATACAATAATAGCAGTCTTAATACATTTCCTGACATACAAAAAAACAGCTAAAGAGCTCCAATGCAACACAAAGAGGTAGTACTGTAGCAATACTATTTTTTCACTTTTCAAGTAATAACAAAAAATCATACGTTTTGGTCACATTTGACCCAGACACATTACAAAGTGCATTTAAATGAATACAATCCTAAGACATTGGTGAAGAGTGTTGTCAGTCAGGGAGCAGCGAGTGCTACTTTTGATTGAGTTCATGTGTGAAAAGCTTGATTCACATGTGTGTATGTTGATCCAAACATACTGAGCACACAGATCGCTACTTTCTGAACGTTAGGGAACTGCTGTTTTTTGACATCACTCCAAAACTTCGCTGGCCCGTTAGTGCGCTGGATGTCAATAAGTTCCAGTGTATATTTCCCCTTGTCGATGCAGGGGACCACTTCCTTTGCTCTGGTTGATACGTCCCCCTCTATTGCAACAGTGAAGGGGTCTCTGGCAAAGCCCATCATCACCTCTGTGGGCAGAGCAAGTCCATCCAATCGACCGGCAAAGTTCTCTTTCAACCTCGCAATGAAATCTGTCACCACATCCGTGACCGATTTGTGCCGGAGATGTGATGTGTTTGGGGAGCGTCGGAAAATGCAGCATCTGACCCGTGCTCAAGTCGGTCGCGAAAAGGTCCAGCTTAACTTGGATCTGCTCCACAAGATCAATGACCGTTTTGTCTCTGTTTACGCTTCAGAGTTGAGAGAGACATGTTTTAGAGTTGCTATCATAGGACCACCGTTACTAGCACCACTTGATGCACTTTCAAAAAACGTGCTGCGTTGTGGTTTGGTGGTTTCTATGCAACGTGGAGTGTTGCGTTCATGGTCTGTACTAGTGTAGGAATTTGGCTACGGGAGGCTGGGCCACTCGGGAGTTGGTTCTGGGCCGCATCTGGCCCGCGGGCCGCCAGTTGAATAGGCCTGATGCAGCCCATTGTTTACTGCTGTATATAATGTATATATGCAGTGTTTGTTTCAAAATGATTTATTATCCATTTCCATAATTTCCAGTGGGTGCTAGTGTAAAATGATGTTCCACTTTTATGAATTCTTTACATTTAGATAGTGTTTCAAGTGTAAAATGCAAAAGCTTAAAAACGTATAAGAGATATTTAATTAAAGAGGCCACTGTGATTTTGGATGTAATCACTAACTTTTTAATTATAATCATAAATAGCTACATTATCTAAAGCTATTTTATGTGAGCATATAATTTCCAGCTCTCCAGACAGCCACCAGGGGGCGACACAGTGCTGTAACCTCACCACATTGAAGACGGTTCGCTGCCTTATGCGAGTTGTACCGGGACTGAGAGAAAGAATTAAACTCTCTGCTATTATTTTAGTTGGATTATCAACAATACATCGCTGCTTTCCTCTGTGAGATGTAAGTCGTTACAACTGTTGCTATAGTAACATGTAGATAGTACCCCTGTAGCCGCTGTGTTTTTATCCGTAAGTTTGCTAGCTATTTTGAAGCTAAGCTAAGCTAAGCTAACTTGTTGTGTTCAGTCACTGTGCGGTGGCTAATGTCGCTAGCTTCGTTTGTTTCATAGCAGGTGTAGCTTGTTCATTTTTTCTAACATTATTTTGTGTTCGTTATTGAATAACTTGTCGCTCTCTTCTAAAAAATCACGGTTCCCGTTAAGATGTTAGCTAACAAGGTGAAGAAATTATAAATAAACCATGCAAACCAAAAAAAGAAAATTGTTGTTAGCTTACATGCTAGACTAGTGCTAGCTAGTTGTCATCTCGAAATATGAGAGCGATTCGCTGTCTCAGGAGGTGCGCACTGTTATTGAATGCGTCTGTACAACAAAGACAACGGGACAGATAATGACACAACTTTGTTCTCTCTCTCCATTCAGAAATACCTCCTCTTGAGGGTTTTTAAAACAGTGTCACCTTTCCGCTGGTGGTCTTTACACTGTGTAACATCAACGGAGGACATTAAAGCCAGTTATGTTCAATCCGCACCACCACCAGCAGCAGCAGCAGCAGCAGCAACAACAGCAACAATTTCACCAGCACCTGCGGCAGCTACAACAACTTTTCCAGCAGCAGCCTCCACCTCCCCCTCCGCCACAGCCACCTCCTCGGCATCATGTCGCCCATCACCACCACCAGGCACAGCGGTAAGAGCGTTAACTCGAGCCCGGTGATTAGGCAGGGCCCTCCGGATGAGGTATGTGGGACTGGCGGTGGTGGCTGAGCCTTAAACCACAACACAAGCCCCACTGTGGGAAATATATATTTTAAATTAAATATATTTGTAAAGCCTGTCTATATACATGTATTTAAGTACAATTTTCTTGTACTTTACTTGATTATTTCAATTTTTTGAAATGTCTTCAACCTACTACAATTATTACAAGAGATAAATAGTGTACTTTTATTCCACTACTTGTATTTCATATTTTTAGTTACTTTGCACATTTGGATTAATGATGTGAAATATAAACAACACTTAAATAAGACTTTAGTTACACCTGGATTAACATTCACAAGCTATTGTGCAGCATACAAAACATATCATATATTATTCTGAAATGGGCCTATCTGTATAATGAGTACTTTTGGTGATTTAAGTAGATCTTTATGCTTATACTTTTGTGAGTAACTGTGAGTTAATGCAGGACCTGTAACAGAGTATTCCTAAACTCTTGTACTTTTACTTGAGTACAAGATCTGAATACTTCTCCCACCTCTGGTTATTTGTTGTTGGGGCATTTAATCCAGGGTAGGATATGTTATGTTTGTTATTATGTACATTTAGTAGATAGAAAATCAGCTATGCGATATTATTTCTATCAGTCCCAATCTTGCAGCACTGGCATACTTTTCTAAAAAGTTTGTTTTGTTATTGTGACCAACGAGAACTTCTAACTCCAACCAAATCACCATTGTCTTTCTGTATCAGGTATTAAGAGTTGGCAAAGGCTTGTTATCTGGCCTTCCCAAAGGTAGTGTTGATAAACTGCACATTATATAAAACACTTTTAATTGCAGGATTACTGGCAATTATTATCTTCACTTATGATAAAAACCATAAAATACGCTGTGGGCATTTGTCATGTACCTGTCGGCTTTTGTCACTCTTATCTTTAATCCTCGGGTCAGCTGGTCCCTTTTATTTTATTCTGAGGATGAGAAAAAGCATCGGCCAGCATATTGTCCCTTCATACTCTATACTGTACCAGCTTTGTTAAATGTAATGACAAATACACATATGTTTTATAAAGCTCATTGTAAATTGCCTTGTAATTTCTGTTATAAAAAATATATAATAACACCTGAAATAGAATCTGCGCCAGAGCTGATATAGAAAGATCTTTGATAAAGGCTAATCCATATCAGAGCTGCGCCAGACTTACAGACAACAATCATAAACATGAGAATGAACATTAGCAGCTTGTGTGCGGCTTTGTCCATGTTATATCTGATGTGTAAAATACGTTTCCAGGTTTGATGAATAATTTGAATAAAACATATATCTGGAAATGTACTTATGAAATGATGCTGTATGTTTATTTACTCATGTGTATTTGTTGCGCAGATCCCTTCCTGGCGCTCAGCAGTCAGCCCCTCCTCCCAGGATGGTCAACATGTGCCAGGGATCCATGGCCCCCAATCCCATGCTGCAGGGGGCCCTACTGATGCAGCAGATGCAGGGTACACTTTGAATTCAAGTTAAAAGACAACTGGAAATCATAAAGGACAGGCACATTTTAGTTGGACATTTACACAGACAATGTGTTTAGAAGCGTTGGAAAACCAGCTTCCAAGGTGTTTAAATGTGCGTCTTTTCTTACGAATGCGTCTCTTTTCATGCTCGTTCAGGTAGCATGCGGGGCTTTGGGATGGCTGGACAGCAGTTCCGTCAGTTCTTCACTGCCGGGTCCAGGAACTCTCTGCTCGGCCCGGTCCCCATGGGCATGGCCATGAAGTCCCCCATGATGGGTTACCCAGCTGCCCGACAGTACCACCAGCATGCTCGCTACTACAACAACAACAACAACAACACCCCCACCACAGCCTCTTCGTCCTTCTCTTCCTCCTCCTCCTCTTCCACCACTGCTGCAGTAATTACAAAAGCACCATTATGATTATGACATTATTGACAACTTTAATTTAGGTCTGACTTTAGACTAGTCAGAACAAGTAAACATCTGTTAATATAAGAACTGATGCAGCAAGCCTCAAATCATGTGTTTATAACTTCAGCTAATGCTTTCATTGTAATGAAGTCATATTTGACCCAAATGCTGGTTATTTTGTATACTTTATTTGATATTGATAGTAGAGCTGAAATGATTAATCAATGGGTTTATGGTTAGAGAATTATTCTCCATTATTTTGTATATGTTATTTATTAAGTGATAGTAATTACATTGGTAGTTTTTGAGCATAAATACAAAACAATTAATAAGTTTCAGCTCAGAATGAAAATATTTACAGTTTTTTTTACGATGGTATACGAAATACCCATGGGTTTTGGACAGTTGATTGGACACAAAAGTGTATTTGAACAACATTACTCAATTCAAACACAATAATTTGTTGTCAGTGATTTGTGCTATGAGACACCTTTGTTTCATAGCTGCAATGTTATCTCAGACTTTGTTGTATATTTGTGATCCTATCGTGGTCTCTCTTGTGCAGGACGCTGCAGCGCGTCAGCCTGACAGGAAGAGGGACAGCGAGCAGATGGCCTCAGGGAGCACAGACGACCAACCAGCAGCTAGCAGTACCAATGAAGCCGGGGACAAGACTGAAACAGGTAGAGCTGCAAATCACCAGCACTGAAACATGCTTAAAGGTCCCATGACATGGCCATTTCTACTGATCATAATTCCATTGTTGAGGTATACTAGAATAGATTTACATTGTTCAATGTTCCAAACTCACATTGGTTTTCTCATACAGCATCTCTGTATAGTATGTGTATTCACTCTCTGTCCTAAACGCCTTGTTGGAGCTCCTGCCCCCCCCCCCCCCTATGAGCCCACTGTGCTCTGATTGGTCAGCTCGCCCACTCTGTTCTGATGAGTCCACCACCGTTACAGCAGAACATCAGTGATTATGTGTCACAATGGCGATAGCAACCAGAAAAGGACACCAGTAATGACAAACAGATGAGAATGCTGCGTGTTGGCGGGACGTTGCGAGGCTCGCTGCTGTGAGGAGGGGACAGTGTGAGCTCTATTACTGGTGTCATTTCCTGGTTGCTGCGTGGAGTCTGCGAGACATCGCGAATGGATGCGGAAAGGGGGGGGTGCTGACGGGGCTGCAGCACCCCCAGCTCCGAGGCTCCACTAGCACCCGCACCCCCAAACGTGGCGCCCAGTCCACGGATTGGTCCATTTTGGTATGGTCACGTCACTGTACCCAGGAAGAAAAAGAAAAATCTCCAACGAGGCGTTCTGGGACAGCATAGACAGGTCTTTTCTGTGTTAGAGTTTTACTCGCTACAGGGTGTACTTTGAGGGTTTGTGACTTTGCAGACCGTTTACATGCATAAAAACCTTCATAACACACAAGGGGACGGGTAATAACCAGAAAAACATGACATGGCACCTTTTTAAGGTTTAAGGTGATGTGTGTGTTAAATGACATGTGTGACTTTAAAGACTTTAATGGTAAGCATTTGATTGTAGAATCATTTGTTTGTATAGAAAATGTTCTATGTGATTGTTTCCAACTTTGTTTTTTGTCTTTTCCACGCACAGATGGTGCCGTGGGAGGAGTGGATGAACCAACGCAGTCGTCTGAGGAGCAACTTGAAGAACCTGAAGTCAAGAAGCAGAGGACAGATGGGTATGGAAAAGGTTTTTTATTGCCATGGCTCCTACAGCCACTGTGAAAATCTTTTCATCCCAAGTGTTAATGTCCTATCCGTGGAGGCAGCAAGAATACCCAGCCGAAATATGGATCATGGAAGGACTTTACACCAACCTAAGGATTTGTTATTTGTTCCTTCGCTAAATCTTGTTATTTTCACTGCAGGTCAGAGAACCCCAAGGAGCACTGTGGTGTTGAGACGATCACCATCGCAGATACAGATGGGGATCTTCTATGTTCAGATACTAACAGCAACACAGAGGACAGCCAGCCTGGAGGTAAAACCCCCAGAAGCATTGAGTAGATGGTTAAATACTCTACTTTTATTTAACTGAGCAGTCATTTCATGTTAATGTAGTTTAGGTCAGTTGAGATGATAACTTCGATTTTTGCTTTTTTACCCCCTTTTCCCAGACTGCATCCTTATGGAGGAAGGAGGCTCCCCTGGGGGGTCGGATGTTGTTGAGGCACTGGAGGAGAGCAGAGCTACTGAGGTGAGAAGTCTTTATTTGGCATAGTCGGGTCATAGACAAAGTCATTTGAACGCTAAATAATCTATTTTGAATTAGCTAAATCACTATTGCAAACGCTAGGTGGGTCATGTGGTGCTTAATGCTGACCACCACTATCTGATGACCTCCTGTTTATCGCCTCAGTTACATAAATACTTTGGGACACTGGGTTTAGTTCTGGTTTGAACCTCTCTGTAGGAGCACAGCCATTTGTCAGCTACGTCCCCATCGGGCAGGCTGAGTGAAGAGGACCAGCAGGGGGATTCCCTCTCAGAGGGGAAAGACGCCTCTTTAGCTTCAGCAGACAACCAGGAGGAAGAGGAGGGTGTAGCGGATGGCACCAATAAGTTCTACTGCTACCTCTGCAGCATTACCTGCCACAACCAGCAAGTATGTTGAATGGACGCACACATTCACATACATAGGCCTTGGTTATCTAGTCTGAAAGGTTGCGGGAAACGTATAATGTATGTCATCTCATAAACTATTATCTTCTAATGTTATTGTTTTTTTTTCAGAACTTCAAGAGTCATATGAACAGTGTTTCGCACCAGCAGAGGATGATGGAGATCCAACACATGAGCAATGCCTGCCTGGTCACCCTGATGCCACGAGTGCACGAGTCCCTACAGGAAGCAATTAAAGACGGGTCAGTTTAAAGCAGTATGCATTTGTTTTGTGCCAAGTCAAAAGATAAGAGAGACAAGTCAGCACCTTTTTGATTGTCTCCTTCAACGGGGTCTTTTTCCTAGCTTGTCATTTTCATGAATAGATTTATGAATATTGTTTGTCTTTTATTTTCTGCAGAGAGAAGAAGTCTGACTTGAAGCATTGGTGTGCCACCTGTCACACCCACTTCACCAGTGGCCTCGCAGAGCACCGTCGCACCGAGGAACACAAAGTAAACCTGCTTACGTTATAGATGAGCACATCTCTTTATCAAAATGGTTTCAAATGTAAAGAATCATTAATGTCCTGTTGTCCCTTCATCTCTCCTCAGCTTGCCAGCAGAGCCGTCATCTCCTCCTGCACTGTCTGCAAGAAACATTTCAGGACCTCCCAGATTTTCGTGGAGCACTTGCGGTCTCAGGACCACAGACGGAAAGTGGAGGAGGTATCTGTGTTTATAATGATTTCAAAACGTTTTAACAACAAGCGCCCAGATTGAAATATTAATGCTGTACTCGCTACTGTTCACTAGCTCCAGGAACAGGAGGGCTGCAAGGCCTTAGGCAAGCTGACGGAGCTGGACACAGAGGGCTTCTCATTGGAGGAGGTGGAGGGCGAGGAGGAGGAGGAGGAGGAGGTGGAGGAGGAGGAAGAGGATAAACAGATGAACGAACAGGTGATTTGCTGTTATGTTTTTCTTGTTTTCAATTCGGACCACATTCTCTTAGGGTCTAAAATGACACTATTAGGACCCTGTAGTTTGTTAAACTATACTTGTTTACTGTGACAGGATGACTGTTCCTCCGTTAAAGAAGTGACTCTGAAGGACATGGCCAGTGACGAGCAGTATGACGCTGACACAGTCTATGGTGAGTCCTTTGAAGTGACCTTTGTATGCTTTATTGTTTGGATTTACCGATAACATTCAGGCGATGTTAATTATTTGGTTTCTTTTGCTGCAGGGTCCAGTTTTTTTGTTCCAGTCGCAGGTTTTATCTGCAGACTCTGCAACAAGTTCTACCACTTTGAATCCTCTGCCCTGCACACCCACTGCAAATCAATGAAGCACTTTGAGAAGCTCAAGGTTGGCCTTTCCATTCTTTTACTCACCTTGTTTTTTTCCTCCACTAAAAAAGAGTATAACTGATTATCTCTGGCACAAACTATTGTTGATCGACTTGTTTCTACTAACTATAGTATTCGTGTTTGTGGTTATTTGTGTGAATAGTTTTGTGTCACAGATTGTTGAACGGCAACTTCAATCCCAGTATTTCTTAGAGGGTTTACTGCATGTAAAAAGATGTGCATTAAGGTGTGTTTACCTTGGAGAATGTCCCTCTGTATTTGTAACATATATTCATGCTTCGTCTTCTCAGAGGTACCGAGATTTGAACAGCGACGCTGTTGAATCTTCCAGAGAGTGTCTCCCCGCTGCAGACAGCCTCAGGCCTCCTGTGACCGAGACCCCCACAGTCTGTTCTGAGGAAACCTCCCCCTCTGAGGAAAACTCTGTTTTACTGACAAATCCAGAAACCCAGCAACAGGAGGAGGAAGAAGCAGAACCAACCTCACAGGACTTTGTCAGCACCTCAGCCACCAATACTGACAGCACAGACCAAGAGCTCCGCCTCCAACTGAAAGAAATAGAGACAACGAAAGAAGAAGAGACAACGAAAGAAGAAGAAGAGACAACGAATGAAGAAGAGACAAAGACATCCCAGGACTCTGTAGATATGGAGGGGCCAGCTGAGCCTCCTGCTGCCAGCGGAGAGGAGCCAGATGCTATTAAAGAAGAAGAAGAGGAGGAGGAAGAGGAGGAGGAAGAGAAGGAGGTTCCTGCTGTCCCAGGGAAGAAGAAGGCAAAAGCTAAACCCAAACGCAAGTCGGGGAGGGCCATAAACAGACGCTGAGTCAGAGAGGAGGTGGGGAAAGAGTGGAACCTGGCAGAAATGTAACCTGATACTGACCGGATGTGATGAGGTGCTTTCATGAAACTGAGACCAAGGTGTGAGCAGCCCCGCTTCTCTCCATGTCAGAAAGTCTGAATTTACCACACACATGTAGGAAGATTGATAATACATCATGGTGGAACATGACTTCCCATGTGATGCTTTCCCAGGGTGGGAAATTAACACCTGACAGCTATAGCATACATGTTAAACCAGTGGGTCCAAATGTTGGCTCGCGGTCAAAGAATGATGTCGCATCATCTCTAGCCTCACCACTACATTACAGCAATACACATTAGGTCATTGTAGTTCGGATCAAACTGTTTTCCTTATAAAGAGAAGCTTCTTATATTGAAAGAAAACCATCAACTTGATACACATTCTGTCCCAATTTCTTCCTTCATACTAAAATCAAAGCATTTTTCGGCATGTTTATTGCAATGTGTAGTTAACTCAAAAAGTCACTTGCACACAGGTGGTAAAAAAAAAAAAAAGACGCTTTGTGAACCCCCCAAGTAAACTAAAAGTGTATTTAAGTTGTAGTAACTTTAGCGGTCCCTTAATTTCATCTCGCTCCATCATCAGGTACAAATCATATCTTGTGTAAAATGTTATTTATGACCATGTCTTCAGCTGAAGTCCAACCACACAGAGCCACAAGTGAACTATACTGCAAAGAATTGACTGTTAAAAAGTAGAATGGGATTGAGACACTGATAAAAACGTATATACAGTTTTTTAATTTAAAGGATTACATGCATTTCCCAAACAAGGAGATCTGCATTTGACATCTGCTTAAAAGAGCAATGACCCCATCTTTCAGAATTATTTATTCAAATCTCTGTAATTGCTTATTACCCCTAAATGAAGAGCATCTAGGCTTTTTATAATTATGCTGCATTCAATAAACCAAATAGGCTGGTAGTTCCTCCAAAAAGTTAATTTCCCACCCTGCTGTGCTCAAGAATCAGGATATTGTTTTTACTCATTAAGCTAGCTAGAAGAGTGATTGTTATTTTAATATAACGTACAAGTGGAGACATGTTCAACAATGGCACATGCTTATAGAGAGCTGAAAGGAGAATGTAAGCAATGTAAGTGTTTGAGCGAATAACGTCTTTTGTTTTTCAAACTAAAGTGTTAAACAGGGTACTTTTAGATGGAGTGTTGAGACATGTTGAACCTCGAATCTGATCAAAGCTTTGTTCAGGGCATTTTGGTATCGTTTTTGGGGGGGCAGGGGGTCCAGTTTATTTCATGTTATTTTTTTCATAATAAAGTGTTTAAAATGTTTGGGATTCAACAGGCTCTAAACTAAGAATCCACACAAAAGTCTGCACTATCTGCTCATTTGAAAGCTCGTCGGTTTAGACATGTATATGCTGCTGGGTATTAAAGATTGACCCACAAATCAGTCTTCTAACTCATAATTCATAATGATAAAAGCGTAGAATGGATAGTAAAGTGTGCCTGCATTCAGAAAAAAAGTGTTTTCCATTGTCTTACAATGCTGTTAGTGGTAGTTGCTCATTTTCCTCTAATTTATCATTGCATTGATTTTCTAAGATATTTGTGTTTGCTGTACACTGGACAGAAGGAACCACAGTTATTGTGAGGAGGAAAGTGTTTATTTAATTTAACAAACTGAGTAGCAGTCACACAGTAGACCATCCCATGATCATACAAATGTGTAACTTTGGTTCCAGCATTTCAGCAGTCACAAGGTTTGGGGGCTAGTGTGACGTTCTGGAAACATTTCATCGTCCACATCTGAGAAGGATATTTTTGAAGCACACAAGTGGTTTGCTTACGCATGTAGCAACTGTTGTAGTCTTGGTGGTGACTGTCACATGACACGTACTTATGATGAAGAAGTGAAGCTCAGAACAGAAGAGAGAAAAGGACATGTAAAAGATAATTTCAGACAAAGCTGTATGTTTCTTATTGTATTTTTATTCAGCTACTGACTAAATGGAGGTGAATAAACGGGATGTTTTTTAACTGCTGGAAGTTATGGATTTGGGGATTTTTGTGTTCCGTTGGGGGGGGGGGGGTTCATTTGAATTGATATTAAAATGTCTGACAATTCCCACACTTGGTCGACTTTATTTTAACTTTTGTGGTCACTTAACTTATACAAACACTTGTTAGCTGACTTATCCTAACACAAACAGGACAGCACATTTACAGTCATGCTACAGATACAACTCTATATCAAACTGGTTGACATTTGATCTTTGCATTTACTTTTTGGGACAGGAACATACCATTTCAGAAAGCTGACGACACAACTGGATCAACACTACACACGTGGACAAATCCTGAAACATTGAGCAAGTCATTGTATATATATCAGCATTTTGTGTTGTTAAAATAAAAAATGCATCAGCTTTTTAATAAAGTTCTTATGTCATCCTGGCTTTAGAATTGTTCTCAATATGTCCCACTTAGGCCTGATTAGCTTTTTAAACATCAACGCAGGAGATTTTACAATTATATTACCAGGTCATTGCAGTTTACAACGTGTATAAGAAGCTGCTAGAGGTCACTAAGATCAGTTGTGGAAGCAAACACCACAGTTCAATAAAGGAGGAAAACGATATGGACATCTACTGAGGAGATCAGATCCAGGTAGTCGATAAGACAGAAGTTAGATACTTTCATAAATATTTACATCCCTGTATTTTGCTGAGCTTAGCTCCTCATCATTCGTTTTCAATCCCCCTTGTCCAAGTCTTCCTTGCTGGAGGACTCGTCCCCCTCTGCAGGACAATGCTGCTCCTCCGGGGTCTGCAGCTGTTGGGCCTTGAACTCCTGTCGGGCCTCCCGGTTTGACTCCAATAGTTCGTGCAGTTTGCCATTCAGTGAATCATTACGATCTTCTATATCATCAAGATATGAGTTGATCTGATCCAGCGCCGAGTTGATGGCTTCAAACTCTGTGGATATGCATGAAAGAGATTTATGTTAGAGCTTCTATTGAGAAAATAGTTTCTGGTCTTTAACATAAAAAGAGGCTTCTATGTTTTTATCCCTTAGATCCCCATTCATTTGGACAGGATTAAGGTTTCCAAACGTACACTTTTTTTGACTCCCTATTAATATAAGGAACATATTTATTGCTGGCAAAGACAGGCAAGAGGAGAGTAGCCTTATTTAGAGCTTGAGATGTACCGTGTTGTTTCATTAAGCCAAGAACAAATATTTAAAATCTGATAATCCCCAGCATTAACCAACAAAAAATCTGAGTATATTTAACCTGTGTATAATATACTTTCAGATAATAATAATAATAATAATAATAAAGAGATTAAATTAGAGATTTCACAAAAAAGGGTCTTAAAAAAACAACAATTTACAAAACTAGTGTGACTAAATCTGATTTAAAAACAATTAATTTAGAATAATTTGGTTTATTTTTATTCTCAGACAACTTTTAAACAGATTTTAAATCACATTTCTACTGAACACATGCACTTTGATGAACTCTTAATTTGAGGATTTGAACAAGATCTCGAGCAAAAAAAAAGCACTGATAATTCAATAAATCTGCTCTACAAACAGACAACGCAACTACTGTCACTTTGAAAACCCATAAGAATACATACTTGATATGACTGATATACAGAAGTTCAAAATGATATTAACATGCTTCAATCAGAAAGCCCCTCAACAATGCTATGCTAATTCAAAGTCAGTGTCACCTAACATCAGGTGAAGGTGTAAATCTAATTGAAATGGCTGCTTATGACTTTATTGACCAAAAACCTCTGAATTAGCACACTGAACGTGACCCGAGTGATTATCGTTCACTACAATAACGCGACACCGATTATAATGAATGACCACATTAGTGCATTACCTTCTTCCTCAAATTCATCTTCGTCGTCGATAATACCATCGTCAATTGAGATGTGTGGATCTCCATTTGGTCCAGACATTGCATAAATATTCACGTTTAATATTGTATTATAGAAAAAGTGCGCTGTTGTTACTTTATTCTATCGTAGCTAGCTTACTTGACATTTGTCACCTGAAGTGATGGATTGTGGGGGAAATGTGGGCGGGGTTTTGCGTTCTCAGCAAAGATGCTATAATAATAAAGACGAGCAGTCACTCTGTGCAGATAACCTGGCGGGTAGTTGAGTTGATAGTTTTCAACCCTACACCTCAGAAAATCTTTCAAGTGTTGATATGTTACTATTACAAGAGTACGTTTTCGATAAATGTCCTCTTTTTCTCTTAAACTTTCTTCCACTCACTACCACAGCTTTTTATCGACCATTCTTATGATTTCTGAAAATATGGACAGAGTGAACTATCTTATCTTATCATCTCTTTGATTTAGAGTTGTGAGATTCTGCCTGTCAGCTGACTTGACCGACTAAGAGCACATTACTTTATCCAATTAACGTTTTTTTTTTGCATTCTTGAGTTTTCTGTTAGTCTTGACCATAGAATTGTCTGTGTCATTGTAGCAGATTTATTGTGGACAGTTATATTATACTAGTGTGCCTCTACATCTTATTTGATCAGTTTTCCTATGAAGAATACTGAAAACGTAAAGCTTTACTTGGATAACCAACATTTATTTAATCAAATGGTTTTGTTTATAAGTTAAATACAATTAAAGCTGAATAGCTTAATCCAATCGTTGAAGCTGACCTATCTAACTTTGGTCAGTAGATGGCGCCAACAAATCATGCAACAGACCCTGACCCTTTGCCCACGTGTAGTCACTATTTCCTGTAAGGGGTTGGACTATTCTATACACACCGAAAGATCTGTTTTGATTAGTTATTTAAGCTATGGAGGAATTACCTGCGGACGTCAAAGCCTTTCTTCTTAACCACCCTTTCCTCCAGTTTACAGATGGCAAAAAGGTTGGCGAGCTAATTCCATCAGATCTCACGAATCACACTGTCGTACAATGTGATGCTAGCCGTAATGCTAAATGATCACATGGACCCATGCAGGGTGAAGTGTTGTGATGATTGCATGATCACCTAATTGTTTTGTTTTCAGATCAAATGCACTCTGAATGGCCATGAGTTTCCATGCAACCTGACGGAGCTCCAGGCGTTTACTAAAGGGAAGAAATATAAGAAACTGAGTACGACTGCCGAGTTCAACTACAGACAGTATGAACCACATGTTGTGCCAAGCTCAAAACAACCGTAAGGAAGAATAATGCTTACCATGTTATTTATAAAGACAATCACATTTCTAATCTTACTTGCAGAAATTGCACTAGGAATGCCATAATGTATCATCACTCAGAACATGTCTCAATGCGTGTAGCTACCTGCATGTGTGTGATATATCTTTATGTGATGCCTCCTGTCTGTTTCCCAGCAAACAGCTCTTCTGTAGGCTGACCCTCAGACACCTTAACCGGCAGCCTCATCATGTCCTAAGACATGTCAACGGGAAACGCTTCAAGAAAGCCCTCGAAAAATGTCAGTCCATTACTTATCTGCATGCATGTCACCTTGTTCTTTACAGGTTGTGATCTAGTAGGTATAGACTGCTTTTAGGGTATGTTATACAACCTTCGTGACACAGACTTTTCGTGTGATATTCTAATCCGGGAAGGAAATGGAAGCTATCATGATGATCGGATTACTTAAAAAATGTATTTCTATGGTATCACTGTTATGGTCAAGAGAATCTTTCTAAATCTGCTCAGGCAGTTATTTTGTGACAATATTCACACAAAGATTTGTACTGATGGACTTCACCATCTATTTTATATGTACACTGTAGTATTATTTCAGTTCTTATCAGTGTTGATCAGTGTTCTCAGTATGATCAATATTGAGTCAAGCTATTCAACCTCAGAAATATTTTATTATTTACACTTTCAATTTACTAACATGACTGTCTCATTCCTGCTCTAGATGAGGAGTGTGTGGAGCTAGGGATTGATTATGTTCCAGCAAGACAACAACGGAAAAAGCCCAGAGACCCTGAAGAGGAGGCCAGTCGGGGGAAGACCTCAACACATGCGGGAACTTCATCGAGTGAAGAGGATCACAGTGACTCAGAAGACAGCATGAGTGACCTCTACCCCCGTCAGTATCCCAAGTGCACACACTGTAGACTTTTTATTATGGTTATTATGTCTAACTGTGCGTCCCGGTGGTCTGCAGAATTGAACTCCAGGCAAAACCTCATGAATTAAATCACTTGTCCGTCTGAATGGTGGCTTTTAGGATAGGAGTTTTAGTTTGCTGTAACCCTGTTATATGTTCCCACAGCTACGATGTTCAGTTTAAAAGACGAGCCAGAAGAAGTTGTAGAGGGTGAAGCACCTAAGGAGGAAGATGACTTCCAGACAGATGAAGATGAAGAGATGGAGGTGGAGGTGGACACGCAGGTGCAACAGCAGAAACGCAAAAAGGTCTGTAGAAATCTACAATCAATTTTGTTTTTTTGTGTAATTCAATTCATGTTAATAGCTGTCACTGATGAAATGTTATTTTAATTATTGTTTCATTCATTTTTTTAGGAACAGGGCGGGGGTGGTCTTCAGAAGAAATTCAGAAATAACCGCTGGAAATCGGGGCGTAAGAAACCAGTTAAAGTGCCCAATGGACAGTAAACAGAGAAACCATATACATATAGTATTTTTATAACTGGTAATCTGTCAGGGATTTACACAGCACGACCAGTTTGGAGGAGTATTCCTTTCAGAGCCAGCCTGACCTTGTCCTAGGTGAACATCCTTTCGATCTTTCATATTTTCTGCATGTGAAAATGTGTCTGTTGTCAGAGGTGTGATGTTGCACAGTTCTAAAGAGGCTGCTTTATGTAAGGAGGAAGATGTGATAGTGGCAGTAAACACATCATTTTGACTGGATAAGTTGTATTGTCTGGTTTGCAACCAAGTGTTTTTCTAGTATAAAATACAACGATTTGGATTTACAAACATTGTCTGTGTACTCTTTACTTCATTGCCTGAAGAAGATGAAAATAAATATTGATCTTTATAAAAAAGTGACTTTAGCAGGTACAGTAAGAAAAAGCTATTAGCAAGTAATTTGCGATTTGGCACGCAAACAGTTTTGACAGCTACATCAGCTTTCAGTATGATGTTAAGCTGTAGATCACAGCTCTTCCAGTTTCTTTAATGTTTCCCCCAGGATGTACACATTTTCTCTACAAAAACATTAACTTGAAGAATATCTGGAATTACTCCGCCCAGGCACTGCATTAATTCATCTAGTTAACATGTAATTAAGAATTGTGAAATATCTTGTGTAACCACCAAATTGTTCTTCTGAGCCTCGTCATCACTTGCTATCAGGGAGTGTACATATGACTTTCCCCAAGGCTTTGGTCTCGACAGTTAAAGAGCCACAGTGCCTCCTTCAGATTTCCCTCCACAAAGCTGCAGCCAGGCATTTTGAGCAAATAAGAAGCAGCATTAATAGTTAGTTGAAGGCAGAAATTAATAAACATCATGACTAAAATTCATTACATTATTTGACTTGTGTGTGCAGCTTTTACTGCAGTGAAAAAGCCTGGTGTTTTTGTATTCATTAATTTACACATTCAATAATTGTATTTTGTTTCAATAAAGTACTTTGACATTATGATTTTCAAATTCAGCTTTAGTTACAACAGGTTTTCTCATTAAGACATTTCTATTGGTATCTTAGACTTAAAATCTAAGATACCAATAGAAATGTTAGAGCATAACAACAAATGAAGAATCATAAAAGCAGTAAGTCAAATAATTATATCTATAAATAGACATTTCCAATAAAAGAGTAACGTTTATTATAGAAAAATAAGAGGCATGTTTTACTAAAAGTAGAAAGAACAGTGTATGCATACTCATTCAAAATCTAACTTGTATTAAAGTACAAGATAAGTAAAAATATTTAAAATAGACTTCATTTGCCAAAAGTAAAAGTACTTATTATGCAGACTGGAGCATTTTTGGAAAATACTATTATGTAACTCTTAGTTAAATTATATTGTTCACTGCTCCTGAAAACTGGTACTCAATTACATTTCATCACTTACTAAATGTGCCAGCTTTACTTTTATAAAAGGATTAATAGACCATAATAAACATTTTTAGCAAAGAGGAATGAACAGGCATTGTAAAATATCTTGTGTAACCACCAAATTGTTCTTCTGAGCCTCGTCATCATTTGCTATCAGGGAGTGTACGTATGTTTTAAGACTTTCCTCAAGGCTTTGGTCTCGACAGTTAAAGAGCCACAGTGCCTCCTTCAGATTTCCCTCCACAAAGCTGCAGCCAGGCATTTTGAGCAAATAAGAAGCAGCATTAATAGTTAGTTGAAGGCAGAAATTAATAAACATCATGACTAAAATGCATTACATNACTGACAACACTCTTCACCAATGTCTTAGGATTGTATTCATTTAAATGCACTTTGTAATGTGTCTGGGTCAAATGTGACCAAAACGTATGATTTTTTTGTTATTACTTGAAAAGTGAAAAAATAGTATTGCTACAGTACTACCTCTTTGTGTTGCATTGGAGCTCTTTAGCTGTTTTTTTTGTATGTCAGGAAATGTATTAAGACTGCTATTATTGTATTCAGTAAATGCACTTTGTGATGTGCCTGGTTCAAAAAACATAACCTGACTATTTGACTTCTAAAGCAAACAAATGTAATGCTACAACTGTGCAAATTTTTTTCAGATTCTGTTAAATTAATGCTAATTTGTTTTGTTTTTATGCACTTTTTGACTTACCTTTGTTAGGATGAACAATGAATAAAAATTGCATGTTTTTCATCGCAGTAATATGTGTTGGTTTAAAATGTGTCACTACCCGCTTTTTACAGGCCGCTGAATGTCTGGCCCAGCTGAATTTTGTAGTTATAAAATCTGGCCCAACTGAATGTGTAGTTGAATAGCCCTGGGCTACATTATAGTATAAGTATATATGATAATATTATTGTAGGCTATAGTTTGTGTCGATTGTAGGCTATGTTGTACACATATATAAAAACACTATATACCTGCATTTACAAATGTTTTCAATTGTATTTATTTGGTATTCATACTTTAGTACATACACCATATTTGCATGCTTTATTTTTACATTAGATAAGAAGTTGTAGCCCCCTGGCCTCTGTCCAGGATTCTAACAGATTCAGCGCCATGAACAGATCTATAAGTCGGTTTGGGCAAAAAACATTGCAACTATACGTAACATGTCCCACCTTCAACTTGCAAAAAACAGTCAAACCAGATTTAACTTTAGAGAAAAAGATAAACAAGAACATCCCTTTACAGTAAACAGCACAGTTTGACAGAAAACTACAGTGAGAGTAAACCAGTGTCACCACCAAGCGGTGTGCATGGGGATCTGCAGGGATCTCTCCAGAGTCCTCATCCTTCCCCCTTCTGCGCTCGGTGGAGAGGAGTAGTGTACATGCTCGGTGACGGAGATAGTCATATAGCTGAGGTGATCTGACACACCGAGGGGCTGCAGTCAATGAGGGGGATAACCGAAAAGTGATCCGGTGTGTGCGGAAAAAGTCCCTTGATACACGAGGGTGGCGAGGAGGGACGAAGAGGAAAATAAGAGATTAATCCCTCCCTGCTCTGACAAGGAAGATATACTGCCCATTGCATCGCAAAGATGGGGAACCAGGGGATGGAGGATTTGATTCCTCTGGTGAACCGCATGCAGGATGCCTTCTCCTCCATCGGGCAGAACGCGGACCTGGACCTGCCGCAAATCGCTGTGGTGGGCGGCCAGAGTGCAGGGAAGAGCTCGGTGCTGGAGAACTTCGTCGGGAGGTAAGTAGCTTTTCCAGGAAATGCATGTTGGTGCATCACACAAGCGGACGCAATCGCTTTCATTTTTTTTTTTACACTTAACCCCGTCCCCATCCCCCCCTCTGAGGCAGCTTTGAACACACCTCCCAGCCTTGGTTAAAAGGTTTACATGGTGGCACCTTTCACCAGTTGTATCCCTCTTTCACACCAAGGCGAGGAGATTATTTTGTAAGGCCGACATAAATCCCTGATGAAGTTCATCTGATGCATTCAGGGATCCACACATTGCTGTTGAAATGACTTTGCATTTAACATCAAAGTGGGTTTCTAAACTCTATAACTTGGTCCAAAATGTCACACATTTGCACATGTTTATCAATACAAACCTTATGACATCAGTCACAGGGGCAGCTTTTACGCTGACTTCCTACACACAATTACAGGCAGCTTGATGGATGTGTTGTTTGTTTTCTGTGGCAGGGCTACCATTTGGATGTCCGAATCAGGACCAGGCAAGAGGCAACACATTTCTTGCTGTGTGTGTGTGTGTGTGTGTGTGTGTGTGTGTGTGTGTGTGTGTGTGTGTGTGTGTGTGTGTGTGTGTGTTTGTGTGTAGAGGTTTCTCACTGTCAAAGCTGCTGCTGATGCAAAACAAAATGAGGGGAACACATCTGATCTATTATGCTGCAGTATGACCTTGCATATAAAGAGAGAGAGAGAGTCTACCTGAGCTTTGAGCCGTTGCAGCTCAGCTCATCCATCTGTCTGTCAGTGCTTATGCTGTAAGTGAAGCTTACTAAATGCAGGCAGCAACATTGGTGTCACTACCTTACTGTTGTCAGCTCTCTATGCTTGTGTTTCACTTGATCTGAAGATTTTGTGTGTGTGTGTGTGTGTGTGTGTGTGTGTGTGTGTGTGTGTGTGTGTGTGTGTGTGTGTGTGTGTGTGTGTGTGTGATTCAGCAGTATTTCCTGCAAGGTCAGACTGTAGTCACTCTTTGGCTCCAAGCCAGTTCAGCACTACTTTGAAAAAGGCCTAAGTATCACAAGAACAAAATGTAATTTCAACTATTGGAGAGAGTCCATCTGTGCAGTAACTCACAATATTCACGTTCCTTCTTTTCTTACATTGGTTTCACAGTAGGTTCTAAAAGTTCCCCTGATGATGGCCAGAGTGCTAATCCCCATTGTAACAGCTCAGTAGGCGAGGCATGGCCACTGTTTACATGTCAGGGTAATCCACACTTAACGCTACCTGCATCTCAGCTTTTAAAAGGGGCCATTTTTAGAATTTAAAAAAAATAACTACACCAATGTAGCATTGCACTATATTCAAGGAAACAATAGATTAACTTTAACAGTAACCTTATTTCATCATGTTGGTTAACATTTTGGTGACATTCAAACAAACGCACGTGAAAACAAAGCAGTATCGCAATGTCAGAAATGATTGATTCTATGTCCATACTTTGTACCATAATAATTGTGAAAGGCCTACTTAAAAAGCAAAGTTTACATTTGTAGAATATATGTTGACTATATATTTACAGCTATTTTTGAAAGGTTTTGCTCAAATATCAGTTAATCAATGAAAAACACAGGATTTTACTTTTAAGTAATTACTGTTAAAAGCTCCACTTTATACTCATTAAGGGGGCTCAGCTGTAGTCATGGAAACAGCTTGAGTCTAATTACACTGCTTTACCCGAGGGACCGGGGATGCATCATGACAGAAGGTAGAGAGGGAAACATTTGAAATATTATTACAAGGACATTTATAAAGATGTCAACGGATTTGTTTGTGTGTGCCAGTAAAAGCTGCAGTCTGCATCCTGTCATGCAGCATGTGTGTGTGTGTGTGTGTGTGTGTGTGTGTGTGTGTGTGTGTGTGTGTGTGTGTGTGTGTGTGTGTGTGTGTGTGTGAGAGAGAGAGTGTGTGTCTGTGTTATTGCATGCTCTCTCCTAGTCCAGCTGCAGTGACGTGGCTCAGGTCCTCCCATCCTCCTTCTCCCCCATTGTGTTTGCGTTATCTTCCCTCACCCACCACCCACTTACAACACGCTGTACTGTGTGTTTAGTTGCCACACTCTTTCTTCCCTCCATCTCTATCTTCCATAGATGCCTCTCAGACAGTCATTTCATGGGATGTTTCCACCAAACC